TCCTCCTTCACCTGCCATACACTAGCAACTCCTTTCTGAAGAAAAATTGGCCTCGGGTGCTAAGAGCCAAGTATATGATGCATGGCATTTTTGGTCAAAAGGTGACGCCAGCTAGCCATTGAGATGATATGATTATGTTAAGATTTGCATTCATATGGATATTGGACTCCTGCTGTTCACCTAGGCCGGCTATGGGACTCCTGGAGAGTTCCCATTGGTTGGGGAAGTACAGGAGGAGGGAGTTCCGGAGGAGGAGCTCTCTCTGCCGGTCCAGGAGGAGGCTGCGTGGGTGGATGGAAAATCTTCCAGGGCGCGTACCGGACATTGGCGGCAGTTTCAAAAAATAAAGTTTGTTCCTGCTTGAGTGGCTCGTGATTTTGTGCCCAGCCAGACTGCGGCATCGGGAACATGTGGTTACCAACCAGCAATCATTGGGGTGGGTGGTTCCAAGGAAATATGAGCATCTCTCAGTCCTGGTGGTGAACATCTGTACCAGACAAACCCCAGGGGCTCTTTTCTGTCAGCAAAGGAGAAAGTGGGCTAACTATTCTTTAATGTCCACTTGTGGAGGCTTCTCCTTGGCCAACTCTCTGGCCAGGGCATTCACCTGAGACAGAGGAGTCTATCCTTCTCCTGGTTCCATATGTGGAAGCTGCTGATTTCTGGGACTGAAGGCTCTGGAGGCACAAGTGTCTCATTAGTACCTGACTTCTGGCAACAATGATGAAGTCAGACTTCAATCTCAGTTGCTGCCCAGAGCCCAGCTACACTCTCTGAAACCAGGCCCTGAGAACAAATTCCTGATGCAACTGTGGAGTTGAGGCCTGATGCTCTCTCAGTGAAAAGCACTCTCATGGGAAGCATGGAGCTGGCACCACAAAAGGTGCTCCACATTTGTCTTGGAATGATGAATTGGAGAATACTGCTCCTCATAAAGAGTTTGGCCTGGTAAGTCTCCAAGAATTCAGTATTGCAAACAGAATGGTGCCAACTCAGTAAGTGAAAAAAATTTATTGCAAACCAACAGAAAAGAAGCCAAAGAAAACTCTGACTTCTCACTTCTGCTTTAAAAAAAAAAAAAAAAAATATATATATATATATATATATATATACATACACATACATACATAAATCACTTTTCCTATTTTCTCTTTTGTGGGAGATTCTGCTTTACTGGGCTGCTCTAAATGCAACGGGTAATTTTGTGCATTACTCTTTATTGCTACTGGGACACTTTTTGGTTCTAGTTAATCTCTTTATTTTTTAAAGTAGTAAAATATTCATAAGTAAAATTTACCACTTTAATCATGTGTAACTACAAAGATCACAGGCAATAAATACATTCAAATTGTTCTCCAACCAAAGCCTCCAGCCAACCCCAGAACTTTTTCATCTTACAAAATTGAAACTGTCCTCTTGCTCTTAAAGGGCCTTTCATTTATAAATTCCCATCTCTCTCTTGCCTTCAAGGTTTTTACACCTGGCTGGCTCTGGTAGCTCTTTATCCAGGAAAATCCAGCTCACACCCTCACATTGGCATGGCTTTTCTGAGGTCACACCATCAGGGGTAAGACCGAAATGGACTCTGATGGGACTCAATTTAGATTTAGAATTCTGTGAATCCTGAAGTTGTAATTGTAAACTCTTTTCTATAAACTCATCATCAGAATTCCCACCCAGAGTTCTGATTGCTTTCAGGCATATGTAGATCCAGATTTTGGAACCAATTTGAATTCACAGAAATGCCCAGAAACCCACATTACATCTAGTCCTGGGATGCTTTTGTCCATACTTAAGACCTCAGGTACCATAGGGCACCACAACTGAGAGATAACAAGGAACATGCTTCCCCAGTGAATTTCCTAGTAATGTTAAAGAAAAGGCCCCATGAATGGCTTTTCTTTCTGGATCATAACAACTTGCACATCATGGTTTTTACTATATCCACAGGAGATGAATTATAGTCTGGTTTCTTGCTTGTCCAAAGGCTTTCCCAATTGATCACAGTTCCTGGTACTCAAGTCCCCACCCTGCCTCCTGTAATTCCTCCATGACAGGTCACAGTATTGTGCAGTGAGCTCAGTAAGCCTTAAGCTCTTGATTATAAAGATTCTGGAGTGTGACTTCAATATTTCAGGAGCCTGGAGATCCAAGAACCCGATGAGCAGGTACCTGTCCTGAGACCTGCACACAACAAAAGTTAAATAGTAAATAATCTAGCAATCCCTTCATTTGTTTGCCCAGCATCCTCCCCCTTCTTCAGTTAACTGAACACCTTTTTGTGGCAATTTGCTCCTCCCCATCATCAGTCCAGGGAAGAGGAACAGGGGCACTATCATATAGGCACTGTCTCTCTAACCATTGTGATTCTCACTGGGATGGCCACATGACCCAGTATGATCTAGTCAGAGGCCTTCTCTGGAATGTTGCACACAGATGCTGCAGGAGTCAGCCCTGGCCTCTGGTTTTCTATCTGCTGTTATGCCCCAGTGATGTAAGGTCCCTTGAGGTAGGAGAGACTGAGGCTAACATTCAGGATGGGGCTGGTAAGAATTCGAGGTTCACTCTTGAAAGCAACCACAATTTTGATACTAATGTATTCCTTAATATATCTTTTATTTAGTTTATTCCTTAATATATCTTTTATTCATTAATATATAAGTTTATTCCTTAATATATCTTTATATTTATATATATTCCTTAATATATCTTTTCTCATTATAAAAGAGAACTGTATTCCTATAAGCACAGAGACAATCATCATTATCATTTTAGTATTTTTCCTTCTTTCCTTTTTATTTCTCTGCACATTGTTCTTTAACTCAATCTTGAGATTTTTATTCAATTATGGTTTTGTCACCTCTAGCATTTGTCACATCTAGGTACTAGAGGTTGATCAGTTGTAAAATTCCTAGCCGATGCCCTGGACAAATGTAATGTTTAGTTAAAGAACAGCAGGAAAACAGGTATCTCCTGCTAGAAGCCTTCTCTTGTTCCTGGTGCTACCCACTGTTTCTCGGCATAGATGCCACAAACTTTCTTCTGTTCCTGTTGTCAGGATTAAAAGATGGCATTTGGTTCCATAGTTTAGCTATTGTGAATTGAGCTGCTATAAATATTGCATGGCTGCATTATAGGAGATGGCTGCTTTTAAGTCCTTTAGGCATAAACCAAGGAGTGGAATAGCTGGGTCAAATGGTGGTTCCATTCCAAGTTTTCTGGGAATCTCCATACTGATTTCCATAGTGGTTTTACCAATTTGCAGTGTATGAGTGGACCTTTATCTCCACATCCTTGCCAACATTTATTGTTGCCTATATTCTTGATGATTGCCATTCTGACAGAAGTGGGATGGACTCTTAGTGTAGCTTTGATTTGCATTTCTCTAATTGCTAGAGATGTTGAACATTTTTTCATATATTTGTTGATTGATTGTATTTCTTCTTCTATGAAATGTCTTTTGTGAGTTCCTTAGCCCATTTATTGATTGAGTTATTTGGTTTTTTGAGTTCTTTATATATCCTAGAGACTAATGCTTTATTGGAGGTGAATGTGGTAAAGATTTTCTCCCAATCGGTAGGCTCTTTCCTCACAAGATTGTTTCCTTAGCTGAGAAGAAGTTTTTAATTTGAATCTATCCCATTTGTTGATTCTTGATTTTACTTCTTGCACTTTAAGCATCTTATTAAGGAAGTCAGATCCTAGGCTGACATGCTGAAGATTTGGATCTACTTTTTCTTTTATTAGGCACAGGGTCTCTCTGTTCTAGTGCTTAAGTCTTTGATCTACTTTGAGTTGATTTTTGTGCAGGGTAAGAGATAGAGGCTTAATTTCATTTGGCTAAAGAGGGATTTCCAGTTTTCCCAGCACCATTTGTTGAATAGGCTATCTTTTCTCCAGTGAATGTTTTTGGCACCTTTGTCTAGTATGATGGTTTAACCATATTTATGTGGGTTTATCTCTGTGCCCTCTATTGTGTACCATTGGTCTACAAGTCTATTTTTGTGCCAGTACCATGCCATTTTTGTTACTATAGCTCTGCAGTATAGTTTAAGGTCTGGTATTGTGATGCCTCCTGCTTCACATTTCTTGCTAAGGATTGCTCTGGATATTCTGGGCCTCTTTTTTTTTTAAATTTTTTATTGTGGGTTGTTCAAAACATTACAAATTTCTTGACATATCATATTCCACACTTTGATTGGGCCTCTTATTTTTCCAAATAAATTTTATGATTACTTCTTCTATTTCTATGAAGAATGTCATTGGGATTTTAATAGAAATTGCATTAAATCTGTATAGCGCTTTTGGTGTCCTCCAATAGATGAATGGATAAAGAAAATGTGGCATAGATATTCAATGGAATATTACTCAGTTTTTAAAAATGAAATTATTGCATTCACCATTAAATGTTGGAGAATATTATACTAAGTAAATAAGCCAATCCCAAAAAACCAAAGGCCAAATGTTTTCTCTAATATGCAGATGCTAATTCACAATAAGGTGTGGGGCACTAGAGAAGAACAGCATTAACTTAGACTAGACAAAGAGAAGTGAAGGGAAGGGAGGAGAGGAGATGTGATAGGAAGAATAGTAAAACAAAACAGAAATTATTACGTTACATATATATGTGACTGCGTGACCAATGTGATTCTACAGTACAACTCAGACAAATGAGAAATTATATCGGATCTATTTATTATATATCAAAGCGCATTAATGCATTCTACTGTCATGTATAACTAAAGCAAATAAAAAAAATTTAAAAAGATAAATAGGAACACAAGAAGTGAGAACAAATGTTAAAATTATCTGGGCTGTTTTTACTTTCCCATGCCACAGTAAGCATCAATAATAAGTAAGCACCTAAGAAAATTTGATTGTTTTCCAACCTCTGGGGCTTTAGGTTTAATGGCTTTCTGGATTCATGATTGGTTTGTGAGGTGTTGATAGGGAAAACCCAACAAAGAGAGACAACTGTTTTTGAATTAACAAACAACAAATCCAATGCAATAAGCAAGTTTATTTATTAAAAAAAAAAGAAAAAAGAAAAGCAAACATTTCTTTTATGACATATTATAGATTAAGTAAAAATACCAGTATTAATATATAGGTATATACATTGTGTGTGTGTGTGTGTGTGTATACACACACACACACACACACACAGATGATATAACATTAACACTACATGCTTCTCAGGACAGAAGAATTAGGACATGTTTCCCTCATCAACTTAAAATTCTATCACAATGTCAAATCACTGCAAGAAAGCCTGTTCCTGTATTTTCTTTTTTGACGTCAAATACAAGAAATTATCAAACCAGGATCTAAATGTGGAAACCATCTTCTATACACCAACCACAACAGACTGCCACAAATCATGAGCCAGGGATCTTCTGAATTCTTACATAGGTCTTCACAACCCTACAACTGTGTCAACCTTCTACCTGAGATGAGAGAGGATGATGAAGCATGACAGTTTGTAGGTTTCATGTGCACATTCACATGGACATTGCAACAAAAGCCAAGTGGAAAATGTTTTTGTAGAACAACAACACTGGCTATGAAATCACCCTGGAGGAGGATTTCGTTGTCCCCTTTCCTTGCTGAATGAAACAGACACCCCCACCCCAAACATCAAGAAAATAGAAACAAAAACAAAAACTCAGGGTGAAGCACCTCTGGCGATGATGAGCATACAGCAAGGGACAGAGAGGTAGCGTTTCCTTGGTGACAGCGCCTGGCTGACTTAGATGATTTCAGACACACCCTCTTCTGCAAAAGGCACTCACATATTGTCTGTTTATAAATCATACAGTGGGGGTCCAAGCATGGGAGTCTCTCCTACAAATATAAAAGATAAGTTGAGGAGCTGGTATAACAAAGAAAAGAGTGTAAGAAATATACATTGTGGATAAATGTGCGCTTTCTCAATAAAGTAGTTTAAAAAAATTTCATTGAAAAGTTATGAATTCCAATAAAATTACTGGTAAGAAGCAAGGTACTGTAGGACGAGAGATGAAGTCCAAAACACTGATAGGACAGACACTAGTTTTTCAAGTGGCCAAAATGAAGGATATTGTCTACCCTCTTGACTAGAAAGACCATCCTCAGACAAAGGATAGGTGTGAGGGAGGGAGATGGTGGCAGGGAAACAGGCAAAGCAGGAGGGAGGGAAGCTAGCATCTTCAGAATGTGGGCGCAGGAAGGAAAGTCCCAAGATCTCCACTAGAAAGGATGAATTGCATCCCTTGCTTCTGCAGTTGGAAGAAACCCTGTCCAAGTCCAGGCTACCTTCACCGGGACACCACAGAGCTAATGGAATTGTAAGACGTGCCACTATTGCAGCTTGATGCATAGGCTTCCTGGCCATTGCCATCCAGGTTAATTTTGAACACAGAGGATGCCTTCAGTAAAAAGTCTGCAGCATCCCTGCGACCCAGCTCCCTCAGTTTGGACATGAGGATGCCTACTGTGCTCTCAGGGTAGGAGGTCCATTCCCGTAGCAGGGCATGAACTGGGCTGGGGAGGAAATCTCTAGGGGCCCCAGTATTGGTGTTGTACTTAGCCACGAGGTCCGGGAGGCCCAAGTTCATGGCCAGAAGGCACCAGTCCTTCCCCATAGGGTCAGGTGGATCCAGTAGGCGACTCAGTTTCCTTCGTGTCAGGAGGTTCAAATCCGATGCGTGGATGTCCATGCCAAGACTAGCCTGTGAGTAGACATCATGACACCCAAAGCAGGTGATGCTGCTGAAGCTCTCCTTGTACCCACCCATGGTATTTGTCAGGGAACTCTCCTTCAGGGTCTGTGCTCGGAAGAAATCTCGTGGCTGGTAGATCATAACGGGCTCATGGTGCTCTCGCAGCTGCTGGGGGCTCAGGTAGTGCTTCACTGTCAACAGCCCCGGCAATGTGGTGGCCATGACATTCTCAATAGTACTGCACACCGAGTCCAGCAGCAGGCAGCACTTGATCTTCTCAGTCTCTAGCCCGCGTACCTGTACTTCGATGCCCTGGCCATGGTTGACCAGCAGCACCAGTAGCTCTGCCCCACGGTTGGCAATCTTGCAGCCGCTTACCCATAGGCGAATGTCTGCATCACCCTCTGTGCTCTGCTGGTGAATCCACCGACACAGGTTCACCTGAACTTTATGAAAGATGCCACATGGGAAGGGGGTAAGATGCTCCACAGGGACAATGCGCACACCACCGTACACCATCACCTCGTCCTCTTCGTCTGTCCAGGAGCGCTGCAGGTTATCTGTCTTGATCAATGCAGGGACATCCACCATGGTCCCGCTGCTCAGGTCACGGGCACAGATGTCCATGGCATCCAGGATCTGCAGCAGTTCTTCCACGTCGCTATCGGGTACCAAGCGCTGGATGTCCTCCATGGTGTAGCGGCCCCTGTAATGGTGCAGGGCCCGGGGAGTTTCCACCGAAAGCAGTTTCCCCAGGACATTGGTGCAGAGCCAGCGGGGATCCAGGAGCAGCACATCCTGCACAGTTTCACTCTGTATTATGTTGATCTGTCAGAGGGGATGATACAAAGTCACCAGTAGGAATGGAACCCAAGGCAAAGGCACCCATCACTAAGAGCACAGAGAAGTTTAATCCCAGCGAGAGAACCTGAGCAGACCTTCTAAGAAACCACACAGGGCAGTTTCATGGATTCATCTCTAAAATAATGATTCCACCCAAACTAACTTGAGAACATAAGAGAGATTCTGAGAAGCAACTACATATGACTCTCAAAAAAAAAAAAAAAAAAGGAAAAAAAAGTCCAATATTTAATGAAAGGAAAAAAAAAGACAATGAGAAAAGGGGGAAGAATAAGAGGACATATGGTAATCAAACACTGCAAATACTGCAATGGGTAATTTTCAACTTGATTCTGAATCCCAAAATAAATATGTAAATGAATAAAAACATCCATAAGAGAAGTTATTGGGAAAAATAGAAAAACCTTTGTATAAAGATGACATAGCCATAGTCCTATACCAATGTTATGTTTCTAGAATATAATCATCAATGGCATCAGATTATGTGGGCAAACATCCATCTCTTTGGAGATATAGATTAAATTATTTAGAAGTACAATGTATTGACACTTTAAAATAAATATGTAAATGAACAGAAGAGAAACCCAGAAAATACAGCAAAAGGTAAATTTAGGTGTAGAGTATATGAGGATTCATGGCAGTGTTCTTACAACTTCTCTCAACTTTTTGAACTTTTTCAAAAAAGGATGCAGAATGTGGTATTAATATGCCATTATGTACATTTTAAACATACTTCATAAAAAAAGGTCTGGAAAAATATACCACCATGATAACAGTTCTCCCCAAGAAAGAAGAGGAATGAGACCAAGATAGTGAACAAAGGAGACTTCAGCTCTTTGGATCATGTTTATTTCTTCAAGAAACCAAGTGGGGCTAGGTGTGGTGGTACATGCCTGTAATAACTAGGCATTAGAGGGGCTAAGGCAAAAGGATCACAAGTTTGAGGTCAGCCTACAAGACTCTTACCAACTTAGTAAGACCTTGTGTCAAAATAATCGAAAAGGGCTTGGATGTAGCTCAGTGATAAAGCACCCCTGGGTTCGATCCCCAGTACCAAATACCAAAAAAATACAAAAAATACAAAAAACAAAAGTTGAAAAAGAGAAAAATATAACAAAAACCAGAAGTCACTCTTTGTTTTAGAGAACAGCTACCTTTCCTCTATTTCTTCTCCATTCTAGGATAGTGCTATGAATAACAGTGATCAGAACATGTTTCTTCCTCATAGGGATTTCAGACTCTACCTGTTGGCAACAGGTGGACTCCTCTTCACTATTTTGGCTTAGGCCTTTGGATGCCTTCCCTATATGGTTCTGTTCAAAATTGAGCCTTAGACTGAAAATTCATGACATGACCCTGACATGGCTCTCTAGATTAGAGAGTCAAGCTTCTGGTTTTTAATATTTTCAGAACTGCTTCTAGCTGTTAATATTCAGAATAGCTACTCTTGGCCCAGAATAGCTCATGCTGTCTCCTGAATTTCATAGGATGGATTTCTTTCCTGGAAATGGGCAAACAATGCAATTAGAACAATATTTCCAAACTGCATTGCAGTGCTGAATGTCACACAACCAAGAGTTAAGATTTCCACTTTTCTGTCATTTCTAGCAGGCATCAGTTGCTGGGATTTTTGTGTACTCCAATTATGATACTACTTATCTGTCTTAGCATATCCAGTCATCCTCTCAGTTAGGTCACCTCACTATCTTTTCTCAATTGTTTGTCAACCTAGGATGTCTGTTTGGAGCCGGCACCTCCCGACACCAGGAGCAGCTATCCTGAAGACTGCCAGGAAGACTAAGGAAGAACCAGGTGCCCAATGAGGGGAAAATAGACCTAATCACCTAGGGCAGAAGTCCTGTACCCATGATCTAACAGGATTTAGAAGATAAAATAAACCGAAGAAAACTCAACAGCAGCTGCTAAGGTGAAGCAGATGCAGAGAACTGCAGTTCTAAAAATCAGTTGATGCTATAAAAGCAACACAACTAAAGATATTGTGGGTAACTGGGCCATTTCCACTCTGTTACCCCATGCTCATCCATACTTCAGGAGCTGGATTGTGGGACAGAAATGGGTTCCTGGAATCCCTTGAGGACATTCCTGGCTCCGGGTAGCCCTTACCTCCCCTGTGCTGTGGAGCTGCTGTGCGATGCGCCTGAGGTCCTCCTCACTGGCCAAGGGGTTCAACTGGTCCTGAACATCATACATGAACTGCTGCAGTGACATCAGTTGATTGGGCCCATTGAGCTTCCTCCAAGAAGGCAGCGTGGAGATGATTTTCTCACAGAGGTGTGTCATGGGAGGGCAGCCCTACAGGGACAGGGCAAGGCAAGTTAGCAGAGGGTGTTAGGAGGTGGAGCCCAGTGAAGAGGATCCCATTTATTCCTGCATGCTGTGCATAACCCTGGTGAATGAGTTAATACTTTGCTTGTGGAGTACTGGGGTAATTAGTGTTTTAGTGCACCTGTATGTAAGCAAAATCTATCAAATATACAGTTGTGTAGAGGCACTGTCGATCATGTTAAATAGATGGTGAGTCTTCACATTTGTTTTGGAATTGAACTAAAGTTCATCAACTCTTCTTGTTTTACTCATTTTTTCCCTCCCTCCTTCTTTTCTTCACTCACTTTCTTATTCCCTCATTCAATGGTTAGTGACTATTTCAGTAGAGCAGTGGTCACATGGTGAGCACAGAGAAGTAAAGAGCATGGGTATCATTATCAACATGAGAACATTCATGGGGACTATTGTCGAAATGCTATTTCAGATTAGATTCATTATTGGTAATTGGCTTGAAATTGGTTTTTAACCTTTGAAGTTGGTTAAACAAACACACCATCCTAATTAGACACCACACAAGCTACAAACCGCACTGCATCCTTAATTGGACATCTGTCTCCAAATCACATTTTTTTTTGTATCAGCTAATTCTATTTCCTAATTTAAAAAAAATCTCAGGGATAAAGGCAGTTTATTTGAGGGGTTCTACCTGCCTGTCCTTAGAAGTTCGGGGGCATCAGTCTGTCCAGCAGCTGATGTACCACATTTCAGCTCAAAATCTTCAAGCTCCCTGGGAATAGAGGCCCTGATCCTGACCTGGGGGAGCACCTGGCTCTTCACAGGCTACTGTTTGTTCCAAGTTCACTGCCCACTGGCTTCTGGTATCATGTTCCCAGAAGCCTGCCATCTGCCAACTGTGCCATGGGACTTTGACAGGAAATTGAGGATATCTGAGGTGTGAGGTCAGGATCTTCATGAAAGGAGAGGGTTTCCTGAGAATTCTGAAAGCCTGTCTGGAATGAGAGTCTGTTGCTGGATGTTCAGGGTTTGGGAAGGGGAGATAAATCATGAGGTGGCCCCACTGGGTAGGAGAGGGAGAGTCTAGACTCAAGCTTGGGCAGCAGGGACATGCCTGAGAACAGATTATCATTTTTCCATTTTAGCATGTTTTCCATTTAGCAGGTTTTTCCATTTCTTACCAGCTTTGGAGAGCTGTTTGTACATTTTAGATAAATAATATTTTATCTGTCAAGTGCACTGAGAATGTTTTTCCCAGTTCAGCATTTTATTTTTTTAATTTTTATAATTTTTTTTACCATCTGTATATATTTTAATCTTTATTTTGTCAAATAAGTATACATTGTTAGAAAATTTCTAGGGTTGTTTTTACCTTGCTTACTCAGTCCCAGGTTATTTTAAAACCATATTCTCCAAAATTTACATTTGGGATATTTACTGCTTTGTATTTGCATACTGAAACATTTTAATCCATTAATTTTGGGTATCTATCTTGTAGGATAGTTCAACTTTACATTCTGGGCAGCTAACCAATGAAATAGGATTTTTATTAAGTAAAAGTTTTCCCCACGAAATGAAAATAATGTATTTGTTTTCTGTTAAATTTCTATAGATATTATGATTTATGTAGACATTCTCTGAGCTGTTGCTATTTAATTAATTATAGAGCCTTTATACTATGTTCTACTTATTCTTTCAAGAAACTCTACCCACTTCCTCCCACATAGATACTAACTGGAATTGTATTAAATTTATACAACTTCACAAAAAGTGAAAAATTTACTTATATTTTACCTACAGCAAGAACACAATCTCATTCTTCTTGTTCTCATATAATATCATGTCCTTCAATAAAATTGTAAGTAACTGTTTTTATAATTCTCTGAATTTTCTAAACATGTTCTCCAGTAAATTTTGCTAGTGACTGTTTTTCTACCTTTCAAGAGTTTTCCTAAACATTCCAAAATAAAGCACTTCAGAATTGCTTTTTAGTTTGTAAAAAGCAATTCTATATTTAAGCAAAACATGAAAACTTTAAGAATTTCATGCACCAGATGGCTCCCTTTTGCCTATTACAACCCTCCATCTCCTATCATTTCCTGTTTCTCTCTCTTCCTGCCTCACCACAGAGAAATTGGACAGCATTCCCCACCCCACCCCCCCACCACCCAGTTCTGGGACAGTGAAGCCATCCCCTGAAAACTAAAGCAAGAGAGAGAAGCACCCTGCTCCCTGCTGGTAACAGCAACAGTTGGGTCCAGACCCCTCCAGGGTATACTCACCAAAACAATCTGACTCCGAATTTCTTGCAGGTGATTCCGAAGAACTTTTATGTCCTTAGACCCAGAAGCTCCAGCATCCAGCACAAACAGCTTATTTGAAATGTGAAGATCATTCCCAAACCTATGGCGAGAATAGGTGCCTGAATCTCTCTAGGTCTTTTCATGGAGTGGACAGGTTCATACTTGCCTCAGTGGCTTATAGGAGGCAAGAAAAGTCCTGGTAACCTTGCAAAGGCCTCTCTGTCCCTGCCTGGTCACACTAAGTGCAGAGGTCTGGGGGAAATAACATGCACTCCGAGAAACACAAAAAGGAGCATGGGGTTTCCACACATCAGCAGGAACACAGTGTGAAAATATGTCACCTCCGCCTGAGGCAGGAAAGGGATGGTCGGTGTGCTCACTTTTCAATTGAGAAGAAGCGATGTTCCTGAAAGCAAAGGGACTAGTAATAAAGATATAATTTTGTGTTCTTACCTGAAATTGATAATACAATATTTGAGTTACTAGTATTTATATAGAGCTGCAGATTCAAACTTTCTTTGATGTAACCCTTGGTGGTTCAAGGGTTAATGCTTTTGAGGCTTGGTCCCTAGTGTGTTGATGCAGTGATGAAAACTTTAAAAGCTGGGGCTTAATTGGAAATAATTAAGGTTATTGGGGTGTTACTCTCCAAAAGAACTAACATAGTTCTCATAGAATTCCAGTTAATTTTCATGAGAGGATTGTTATAAAATATGGAGCTACTTGTTCCAGCAGATGATCACTCCTTCTCCTAGGTGACCCCTCTAGGTTGCCATCTGTTATGATGGGACACAGCAAAGGAGGGCTTATCCAGATCTAGCTACCTAACAAACTATGAGCTAAATAAACTTTTTTATTTGTAAGTTACCTTCCTCATCACAATAATGGAAAAAGGCAAATATAGATTGTGCATATCCATATATTATAAATAAAGCAAAAGGTGTACAAAGTAATACTTCACAGGAAAAGCACTCTGATCTATTCTATTGTGTTCCACTCTTCTCATTCTATCTCATTATAGAGAGAGTTGGTCATGACCCCCTATATAATTTCATAATCCACTAATGATCTGTAATATGTTTAGAAATACTGATTAGTGCTATAGTGATAATCGTGGGGGAGGGGGACTCTGAAAACTACAAGAACCAACAAAAGTTATCTCTGGGCAGTGGTGCTGGAACATATGGAAGGAAGTGACATGCTTTTTATCAGGTACTCTATTGGATTTGTTATATGTGTATTCATTACTTTGTTAAAAGTTAAAATACAACAGAAAGATCAACCAAGAAGGAAAGGCCTTTGATTCCTCCATTTGGGTCCCATGACTTCTGTTTTGCTTCCACAACAATGATTCAATTCCTGAGGTAGGAGGTCTCCAACTCCCTGGATGGAGACCCAGTGCCATCCCTCACCTGTTCTTGATCTCTTTCAGCAAGGAAGTGTCTTTGTCATATCCAAACTCGCCTCCAGCTGGACGAGGGACATTCATGATGTCAGCATGAGTGGCCACCAGGACAACTCGGAGTGGGTTCTTCAGCTTGCCGCCAAAGGCTGGGGACAGACAATGAGACCTGTCAGGAAGCTGACTCTCCTGTCCAGGTGAGGGGCCACATTGGCCTCAGGTCAAGCTACCTCTCCAGGTGATGTGCAAGCTGCCCGCTGACTTGAGGGCCCCATGCCATCTGTGCAATGCAAACCCTACAAGACCCCAGGCCCAGCCAGCAATAGACAAGCACACTCCCAGGCCTCCAAGAGAATTCTCAGCAGTAGACAAGGACCCACCTCAACCCAAAAGGCACATTTTCAGGGCTTCCTTCAAATAGCCCTTTCTGTGTGAGGGAGAAGATTTTACCTCCAACAAGGGGAATGCCCTTCACAGAACCAAGAAAAGTTCTGAATGTAGCCACACCAGAGATGGCCCAGGAGAAACTACATGACATACAGGAGGTGCCTCTCACTTGCAGGAGTGTTTAAAAAGAAAACAAGACAAAGGAGAAACAAAGGCCAAAGTGGCAGCACCCTGAGGGGGATTAAGCCCAATTTATTTTATCATTCTATGCTTTTCTGGAAAAAGACACTGACTTTTTTTTCCCCAGAAAAAGATGCCTCTCCTATTGTCTGAAAAGAAGTTCATCACATGTTATCTTCTCTTAAGAATAAGGTCAGGCCAGCTGGTGCTCTTTTTCCAAGGCTCGATGGATCTGCAGGATGAAGCAATTCATTCTGCTGATGAATTAGGGACCCTTTAGGAAAAGAATACAAGCCATGGAAGGAGGATTCAACTTTGCACTCAGCAAAAATGACTGCAGTTCTTGGGTGTAGAATAAGTTAGAAATTGCACTGAAGGAGTGGCTCCATTTGGGCCTTTGAACAGAAATTTGTGATCATGAGACAAAAACTCCCTGCAAAACCCAACAATGAGCTGGACCCCAGGAAGCTTCCCAGTGTGGATGTCTCCTAATGAAAGGGTAGAAGAAAGGGAGTCACAGTGGTGGGCCACATGCAGGGCCTGCACCTGTTCCTTCCCTAGAGGCAAGGCCAGAGCACAGGCAGGAGCAGAGCAGGAAGTATGCTCCCCCTGGTGGCTCAGCTCACCTATGGGTTCTTCAACTGGGACTAGAGACTTCAGGAAACTGAGCCAGAAAATCACTTGGTTCAGCTGGATCTCATAGGGTTCTTCTAGACTAAAAACGATGACATGGATGGACGTGGGATCATTTGCAGCAAAATAGTCATAGCAGCAGAAATATACAGGATTTCCAGAGAATTCCCACACGCTGAAATCCCCGACTCCTACAGAAAAAGAAAAATAAGGAATACTATCCCGAAATACCACCAACTTCAATCATAATATTTCTAAGCACTCGGGGGATTCCAGGAGGGCTGATGATATCTATGGCATTCACATGTACACACCCACCTAGTTACAGATCCACACATGAATCCTTATACACATACATCATGTGGACCCATGTCTGTTTCCCTAGTTCTATCTGTATCTGCTGTCCTGTTTCTTCCTAAATACCTTCAATATGGCATCTATAGCTATATCTACATCATAATTACTCATGATAGCCTGGAGAGGTATGGGTGAGTATTTGTGTGTGTGCACCTAGATTCATGCATGGCATTGTGTGTGTGCATATATAGGCACAAACACACACATACTTTGTTTTTTCTCTTAAAATATTGGTGTATAAAAATAGGAAAGACACCAAAAAGTTTCTCCTGTCAGCTTACACAGAAGCATGTATAATGCATCCATAATGACACAGCTTGATACATGTTCACATACATATTCCATCTTTACATAGAAAGCTGACTCCTGACAAAGAAGGAGCCAGAAAGCAAACTGCCCTCCTTTGTCCTAAAATTCAGAAGATTAATTGAGCCAATATGAAAAAAGGTTCTGTGTCAATGAGAGAACATGTGAGAAAAGATTCTGTGTCCTGAAATAAGTTAGGATTCCAAAATAAGTTACATTTGGCACATGACAGAATTACAAAATATTATGGGGGTGCTATCCTTGGAAGAGAGTGATACTTAATCTCTTGGGACGTTAGTTTCCATGAAAGTGAGTTGTTATAAAAGGTCAAGACTGGCTTCTCCCTAGTGTCTGGCTCACCATGCAATTGCTCCATTTTGCATAAACTCCCATCATGAAGCCAATGCCATGAAGTGACCCAGTGAAGGGGCCTTCGACAGAGGTCAAACCCATGGGGCCACCCAAATATGGACTTCCAGAACTGTGAATTAAATAAACCATTTTCCTTTATAAAATACCCAATGTAGGGTATTTCAATAGCACAGAAAATGGACTAATATAGCCCAATTTTTCAGTTGCACACATAGTCTCGGGAAAATTTAGTAGGCTGTCCTAGGCCACAGAATGAGTTAGAAGCTATTTCAGGTTAGAATCTGGGTATTTAACTCTAAAACCTCAAGCTCTCATCCTTGGCTTTAAACTGCCTCTGACAAAGCAGGAGACTCCTGTCCAAATGACTTAGGACCAACCAGGAGCCTGGCAAGTGATTTGCTGGTTGAAGGGAATCTTTTCAGGAAAGACTTAAAGCCTCTCCCCTTGGAAAAGCTTGAAAGAACACATTTTAAATTTTGTTGATGGAAAATCTTAGCATTAGCTAAACTCTAGATAGCATTAGCTTCAGCTTTAGATAAATATAAAAATAATCATTCTCTTACTTGGATCAACAGACTACTAGTGGGTTTGTTTTATGAGATGTCCCATCTAAGTGGGTGTTCAGTTCTAGTTTTAAAAAGCTATTAGTTTACATATTAGTCATTTATTAAGCATCTGCTGTGTGCAGGTGCTTCGCTCAGTGCTAATGATACCCTTGTGTGTAGTTTTAATCTTGAGCTGTGTTAGCCAGTAGTGTTTCAGTCTGGGTCTCTCCCAGCTGAACTTCTGTTGGATTTTATAATAATCATGATAGATACTGTCTTGGACAAATCCTATTTGAGGAATAACTTAAAATCCCATCAAGGGGAAAACAGACATTCGTTTCTGGGGCCAGGTGAGGTATACCATTCAAATAGGCATTCTGGATGTCGATGGCTTGGTGGACTGGTCATCGGTAGAGCAGTGCGCGTGGTGGGATGGGGCCACGAACACCTCCAACATTCCTTTAGTGAGGCCCGGCTCAAACATCATGCTGCGGCTCCTCACACTCACGTTCTCACAGCCAGGGTACAAGTTGTTGATGCTCACAGAGACTGCAGGTCAGAAAGAAAGGAAGTAAGACCTTGTATAAGGCAACATGTATGTTTGCTCTTCCCTCCCAGCTTCGCTGTGTGTTTTCCTTTTCTGAAACACTGCCCAATCCCCATCTCCCACTAGGCCTCAGGCTGATCTGGGTATGTGCTCTGTGGTGATGCTGCCCAAGGAGGTTGTGTAGACATTCTCTGTCTACCCACCTCCCAGACTTCTCTTCTGCCTTGTTCTGTGAACTGAGAGGTTGACCTTCTAGACTGCATCTTTCAGGCTTGTTTGCCATTTGATTTCTGGAGAGGAATAGCCAATGGGAGGCACAGGAAAAGGCAGGAAAGCCTGGGCATTCCTCCCCTCTCACTTCCTGATGCTTCTCTGATACTGGTTGTGTCTCATTCTATGACTCTAAGCAGAGCTCCAACATTCCAAGTCCCTCTTAGGTTCCTGTCTCTTGTATGTTCAGCCCTACAGTGGTAACAGCCTCCCTTTCTTGCCAATCTCTAGGTCTTCCATGTTTCCTGGGGTTTGGACCATGACTCCTTCTTCTTAAATTTCTGCAGGTGTATTCTCCTCCAGGACCATGGTGGACACAGATGAGCACCACTCTTATACATGAAATTATTTTAGGTTGAATACGAAATTATTTTAGACAATGGTAAGCCACAGCATTAAATAACACTAATCAAACAGCAAGAAAGTTTTGAAAATCCTTTTCAAAACACACAGCAAGTTTTAAGATCCTTTTGGTTGCTCTAGCATTAAGTCATAATCTATGCCATTAAGATTTTAGCATGGGCTGGGGATGTGGTTCAAGTGGTAATGTGCTTGCCTGGCATGCGCGGGGCGCTGGGTTCGATCCTCAGCACCACATAAAAATAAAATAAAGATGTTATGTCCACTGAAAAATAAATATTAAAAAAAATTTTCTCTCTCTTCTTTCTCTCTATCTTTAAAAAAAAAGATTTTAGCATCTTTTTAGCAAATGCTGATCTTCTCTTTCAAAGTAAGGGAGCAGGCAACAACACACTGTTCAACCTCACTGCATTTATTTTTACCAGTGGTGGTAGTTTTCCATTTATGGCAAGGAAATTAAACTGTTTCATTTTCAAATTTTAATGTACTTTAGTAAGTAAAAAGTGAGTTTTAAAATAATTTACATAAAAACAATGGTAGCAAGCAGGTGTGCATGTGGGGGGCAGTGAGTAACAAAATCTGTATTCTCTTTGTATGGGTTTACAGCCTGTGCTTCCTAACTATCTCCACTGCTTGCTGGTCTACCCATCACTCTGTAAGGTAGGTAAGAGGGAAAAGGGCAATGAAGGACAGGCATCAGGTTTATGCACCAAGAAAAATTCAGGAGTCATAAACCTGAGACAGTGGGGAATCTTATCTAAACAGGCAAACAGATCTGGAATGCCTAACCTTCCCCAAGCTGTAAAGAACTCTAATTCCTTGAGGGAATTATTACTTAAAATTCTGGGACCTAACTACAATAGATACACATCAGAAAAGTGGGGTATCACCCCCAGCTACAGCTAATTATAACCCCTCAAGGAGCTATGGTTTCCAAAAAAAAATTTCCATCATTATCTCTTGCAACCAGCCTTCCCTTATTACCAAAACGATGTCAGAACCATCCTGTCAACTAGAACATCAAGACCCTCACAAAGAAAGCATGCTGAGGGCCATCCAAGGGGTAATATACCAAAACCAATTAAGGGTGGACAGGAAAATGGAGGCAAGAAAAAAAGACTCAGTCCCCTGAAAAGCTCCAGCCTAGAGACCACCTCGCCATCCTCTTTGTGAGGCAGTCCGTGCAGTCCCTATGCTGTATGTTACTCTCGCTTCTCACTCTCTTTACTAAACTTTTGCTTACTACTTTGTGTTTTTCTGGAATTCTTTCCAGTGGAGTCAAGGACTGTGGTGGCTGCCCCAGCTCAATGTGGCAGGCCCTAGCCCTATAACAACCCCAACATGTGGTGAAGCCAGAAGCTATCTGCTTTATGGCTGAAGCTCAGACCCTGGCCTGAGGTAGGTGTTCCGTAAGTATTTGTACCCTTAGTTCACAACGGGTAATGAAAGACGCTAAAAGTTACCCAAGAAATGACCATTTCACCGAGTAGTGTGACTTTCAAAATTGGTGATCCAAACACAAAAGCAATCCCATATTTAGAGACCAAAGAATTAAGACTCAGGGGATGGGTAACAGGAATAGCTAAAGGAAAGAGCAAGAAGGAGAAAAACAGACAGATGGATGAGGCTTAAGTACAGAAAAAAGGAGGGAGGGCAGTAGGAGAGGCAATTTAATATATATTTTATTCTGATTATAACAGTATAATGTTTGATAAAAAGAAATGTAAGATAAAAAATGAAATGACCTAACCCCAAAGGTTAATTTGGTCCACATCACAGTGTGTCCTCACAAATCATTAGTTCAAAATAATGGACTTTGGTGATTCCCAGGAATGGGTTCGTCCTTCTTCCTGTGCCCTGACACCTGTGCCTAGGACAACCATTTGTTAGGACCAGACCACGTTTAGTGGCCTCTGGGCTTGTGCTTGCTGAAAGCAGGCAATGTTTGGTAAGTGGTCATTATTCCTGCAACTCAAAGACAGTTTACATGGAGAATATAAAAGGTTAGGGTAGGGCGTGGATATGATTAAAATAATAGCTTATAGGGGAACCCTGAAATCACAGAATGAAATTTTTTTTAAATTTTTGTAACTGCTGCCCCCCCCCAGTGATAAAAAGGGGCAGACCCCAATGGAGAACCAACCCACTTTGGCACCAGGGTCATAAGAGATTTCCTTAGCAAGCTGCTCTCTAGTGAGGACAGGAACAACCTCTCAAGTGTTCCTCCCATGAGAATGGATATTTTCCTCCATCTTGCAGGGCTTCGACTAAACAGCCACAACCCTCAGGGGGTGATAAAGCTAAGTGAAACATGCAGTAGCAAGATGATGAGCAAATGTAAGATCTATTGGGGGTTGGGGCCCCCCCCCCCCCCCCCGTGTGTCAGACAAGTGTGTGAACTCAGAATCCTCTAATGCCACTTTCTTCATCAAGGGCTGAGAATTTGTGAAATGGAAATAACATAGCCTCCCTACCTCCACCTCTTCTCTAGTACTGCTCTGATCAAAGAGGACAATTCTGATAGTGTGAGAGCTTTAACTGGAGGCCTAGCAATATTGTAAGCCGCTGTGAACAGGGCCGGCCACATTCCACCCAGGAGAATGCATACCATGTCCTGTCTCCTGCCTGGGAGCTCAGCTTTTGCCTCTAGTGTTTTTGTAGGAATGGCAACAGCAAAGAGTCAAAATTTTAAAAGCAAATAAACTTCTTGATGTCCAACTGATGGACATATTCCCATGTGGGCATATCTCCAGTAGAAAGAAATAAGGCCTGCCAATTCCAGAAGTTGTTGTGAGGAGGGACAGCAGTGCCACTGGGAGGTGACAGTGCTAATGTTTGTAGAATCAGGTGACTTCCCTGGAGGCACATACTTAGGGGTAGTCTTTCCTGTGGTGTCTATAAGCAACTCCTGTTTCTGTTCCCTAGTATGCATTGTCCACTGCCAGAGCCCAGCTCCCTACCACTTGTACTTTGGGGCCTTATACTTGTGCCAGGCTCAGCTTTTTAGAGAATGTTCTTTCCTGCTGATAAACAGCTGTGAGGGATAGGAGTGATATGACCTATCCACCTCAGAGCTGGCAAAATCTTCTCTGGGTTCAGCCCAAACCCCAGATGTGCTTTCTATGACATCTCCCTCAACTCAAGCCTGCAAAGACATGTTAACCCCACCAGGGCAAAAGGAGGAGATACTGTGGGGCCCATGGGTACCACTCTTACCTCCCTACCAGCTGCAAGCAGGTGCTGGATTTATGGTATAGGAATATCATTACTCCTGGGACTGTTTACATAAATATCCTGCCAACCCCTCTGGAGCAGATGTGCCACTTGAGCTTTAAGAAATATAGGCAGCTATAGATGTTATACTTCTTCTGCCCTTGTCTTGACTCTCCCTCCAAGAGGCTACCTAACCTGGAAGAACCTACCTGGGTCCAATTCAGCTCTCGCATTGACCAGGTGTGACCTTAGCTCAGGGATCCCACATTCCATAGCATTCCTGTCCTTTCTCCACTGATCTGAAATATCATTGTTCAGGGTAGAATCTCATACATGGGATCCAATGTCTATATTTGCCTTCTTTCTCTCCTGTTCTACTGGACTCCTGAAGTTGGGGGGCAGATGGGGACCATGTGAGCCTATATCCTCAATTGGAAGCTGTCCTCCTCCTCCCTATAATCACTGCTAAGCAGGAAGGTTGAACCAGAGAGGCCAATTCTTCCAATTTCCCACAAGAAGTCAAATATTCAGGTTTTTAGGTGAGATCTCTTGATTTAAACGCTATCAACTAATTCAATTTATCTTTTCTCCTGCCTAACTCTAAAGAGAACATGGCAACTTATCAGGCCAGGCCTATGGTAGCTGGTGTTCACCACAACTAGGCAGCCACACCTTGTATCTCTAGGCCTTGGGTTACTTCTCTATGAAATGCATTTGATCTACCTCTGAGTCATGGAAATCAAATGAGATAATCCACATGCAGCACCTGGAACCCAGGTTAGCATGACCTTTGATTTTGGTGTCCCCAAGGAGCAGCCACCTCACAAGCTGGACAGACTCTTGGGCTTCTCTGGTTTCTTTCTGGTGTATATTACATTATTAAGACTTGAATATCTCCAGGAGGACTTCCTCAGAGTTGTGCTTCCTGAGTGAATGATGTTAACTCCCAGGGGGCGAAAGTATGAGGAAGGTTTTCTTCCTTCAGCATCCTCTGAGATGACAGGATGCAGGAAAGACTAAAAAGAGAATCACATGGGATTGATTGACTTAAGCGCAGCATTTATTCTCCTAATTGTCCTCTTGGAGAAGCAGGGCTGCCTATTAGATGTGAGGTAGGGGAAATGGAAGGATTCAGCTGGAGTAGGCACCTCTGCTCAGGGTAGCCAAAATAACAGGAGAAGCTGTCTCCTCACTAGACCTGCCATGGCTCTGCTGAGAGCAACTGAATAGTTCATCTGCTCCAGCCACAGATGGTCCTCCAGGAGATCTTCTTTCCCAGCACCCATGACCCAACTGTCTCCAAGCATTGACTTGGATGTGGTTGCTTGCAGCAAGGTTTGTTGACTACAACCATCCTGAATGGTATTTTGCCAACATCCCACTTCAGAAACTAGATATGGAAAACTGAACAAAGGGAAGAGAAATGGAGACATTGTTTCTGAGGAGTTGAACAGCAAGTATGTATTCCCTCCCAGGGAACTCATGCCACTAGATCTGGGCTCCTGGAATACAATCTTCACATCAAATTAGGACTCAGAAATTCAAGACCACTGTCTGGTGCTTGTGCACTAGTGCACTCATTTACTGCCTGTCTCCCCCACAGAAGTTCAGACCAGTGATATTAACCCTCAGTGAGAGAAAGCCAAATCCCTCTAGCACCAGGAACTGCTGGAGAAGCAGCAGTCACAAAGGCTGGCCCTAATAATCAAACTTGGAAATAAATCCATTGTAAGAAGATATAACTAATCTCAAATAAAGCCAAAATGACAGAGAAAAATGGAAAATAAGTACATAGAAATGCACTTGCACAGAGCATTCAGGCACCAGATGCTCCATGAATTGGCAGCTAGGACTCCACAGCCTACTGTCCTATCAAAGTTTCTGTGATACTGGTAGAAACATCCCATAAGACTGTTGTGTGGAATACATGAGGCACCTTACATATCATATTTTGCCTAGTTCTTGGCACAGCTGGTGCTCAATAAATATTAGCAGTCTGTATTAACAATATTATCACTATAGTAATTACAATTCCATTTCAGTTATTTCTTCCCCAGGTTCCCAACTGTATAGCTATAGTTAGGGACAAGAAGTTGAAAGGGGAAAGTGAATCTCAGCTGGCTGCCCCTGACTACTGCACTCCTCAGACATCCTTCCTCACTGAGAGAGGAATGCACAGAAACACAAACTTCAAAGTATTTGTTTTAACTTACAGAACAGCTATAACACCTCTGTAATATCATGTACAAAAAAGTGACTCTGAGGTACACAACTTCAAAATTGACATTGTTTAGAAATTCATGGAAGGACTCTATTCTTACCCTCACAAGCATTCATTCTATCCCTCTACAGTGGGACTCTGGAGACACAATACCCACGATTGCATAGTTTTCTCTTGCTCACTGTGGGTATTTTTCCTCTCAGGAGGGGTGTTTTATCCTGCAGTTCTGGGTGTGATTCCTGACAGCCACTTTCAATGAAATGACAGATGTACCCACAGAAGGTAGGGAGGACAGCAGAAGCTACTTATTAAGAAGGGTTTATGTGACTGATAGATAGATCAACTGTAAAACCATTCAAGAGAATTGGAAACCACTAACCAACTTTGAGCTAAGCAGAAACATGCTTCTTCAGGAACCCAATTTTGTTATTCTGGGCTCTCATATGACTGAGTGTACCCACAATGCTCCAGCAAGAAAGGAGAAGCAAGTCCCCTCCTGGGGCTGCTACTGGATCTGGGTTGTGCTTGGACCTGCATTAGTCCAAGAGCAGAGTAGTACGCTAGAACAAACTCAAGTTCTACAATGTGCACAGTTATTACTCTGGACCTTTGTGATTGATTTCAGTGAGGCCCCTCCTCTACTATGGCTCAGTAGATATGAGTCCAGATGATATGCCATCGCTGGATGAGAGAGGGTAGACACAAAGTCAACAGCCAGCCAGAACCACATGTGAAAGCCAGCAAGGAAATGGAATCTGGGCATCCACAAGCCAAATGACCAAACCAGAGGAACCTCTCATCCTCAGACCTTGACCAGAGAGCCAGAGAGAATGCAGAGCCACAGCTACTCTAGACCCAGCAGCCACACTGAAGCTCCTACCTGTTGGCTTAGCAGTTAGGGGAGATGGTGGGAATCTGGTGGAATTGGTGGAGGAGAGTCTGGGCCGGCGCCTTCTGAAAAAGCTCCTCAGCAGACCGCACTTGAGAGATTCCACCAGGGTGGTTTTCCCGGAACCTGAGTGGCCAAATAGCTTGAGCTTGATTCTTGGCTGGAGATTCTGTGTGGGTCGGAGCTGCTGGATGAAGAGCCCTCTGTGAGTATCCTGAATATAGAGGGAAAAGAGCCTGTTAGTCAGAGGCGGGGACAGTGGGAGAGTAGCCCTGAGCATACTTCAAGTGATGATTTCCACCTAGTCACCAGTCTGCACTTGACACTTGTAGTACAGATTTTGTTCTGTATCCACCAAATTTCTTAACATTTCAGGCAAATTTCACACACTATGCAAATCACCATTTAAAGTATCCCATTAACAGGATTTCAGTACATCTCCAATGCTCTACAACCATCACTGCTCCCTGGTACCAGAGCACTTTCCTCATCCCAAAGGAAATTACCTATTAGTATTTTTTTGCCCCCCCCCCCATCTACTCAGCTTCTGGCAATCACTGCTCTGTTTCTCTCTCTCTGGATTTGCCTATTCCCATGGCATGTTTGATGCATAACAAATAGGTGGAACACTTGTGAAGCCATCAATTTAACTTGAAATAGGATGAACCCTCTTTGACCAGCTGGAAGCCCACTTCTCACTTGTGTGGAGGAACTGTTTCCTTAACTGCACCATCAAGGAACAAGAGGGCAGACCTTTTCCTGTCTATGCAGGGTCCGGCTCCTTCATGGCACTGTCACAGCACAAATGAAAAGAGCATGTCCTGTTTTGGTGGAGGGTCTACTTATTTGATGGTGGTACAAAAGGATGGAGCCTATTCCTCTGTGTGGAGTCTCATTCCTTAATGGGACTGTCAGGGGATAAGGCCATTACTCTCTGTGGAGAGTTGGTTGTTAGATGGCATAATTGTGGCACAAGAGGGAGCCCTATTCCTATCTGTGTGGAGGGTCTGGTTACTTGACAACACAAGGGAATGGAGAAAAGGGGAATCACAGGAGCCAAAGAGGACACCTCATCCCTCTTACTTCATTCTTTCCTGCTCCTCCAAGAAGATACAGAAGTCTCCCCTAGACAGAATCCCCACGGATTCACTCACTCATTCATTCACTCACCCACATGAGGTCTCATGTACTAAGCCCAGTGCTAAGAACTGGAAGGAAGAGTTAGTCTCAGCCCAGATCCATATCCTTGGGGAGATACAGAAGTGAAAACAATTTGATATCAGATATACTGTAAGTGCTATTAATGTAATGGTGCTATCAAGGTGTTCAAGGGCATCCACCCAGCTCAAGGTCTGTACAGTGGGGCATTCCTCATGACACCCAGAGTTTTATCCTGCCTTCACATGCCATCCTTATTTCTATCACCTCCTGCTCTGCTCTCTAGCAAGGACCTGTTTGGAGTTGTTGCATGCTGCCTCAGGTCTCTTCCTTTACCGGATTTAGTTTGGCTCCTATGCATCTCACAAAACAAGTCTTGCCTGTCATTTTTCCTACAAGCCTCCTCCCCAGGTATGCTCAGGCTATGCATGGCCTCATCAAACTATAGAGTTATATGAAGCTCTGGCTCTAGACCAGGAACCAACTCAAGGGTAGAGATGGTGTCCCTAGCCCTGGCACATGCGGTACACTCATTAACAGGTGTTACATAACTGACTTCACTCAGAGGGGTCCCAAGCAAGAGCATCTCAGTGAGATCTCACGACTAACTGAACTCATTTCTTCAGTTCTAAATTCTGAGAAATGTTCATTTTTTGTTAATCTATTCCAGTTGAGCCACTGTTATTTTTTTCTTTAACTGTGTGTTTACAAATACATATAACCCTGTAAAAGAGTTACAAGTTTCCTAAACAGTTTCCAATTTCTATTCTGGGATCAGTTGTTTTCAGCCTGGGTAACGCTTCCCCCTAGTGTGCACTGTGGAAAGCTGCAGAGGTATTTTTGTTCTCAAAATGTTGGGGAGATGCTACTGATGCTGGAAGTTAAGTGTCCCCACACCATTGCACAAAATAGCTCACATAGTGAATACTCCTGTGTCCCCATAACTTTTGAGCATCTGTTAAGCATTAATATGGAAGGAAAACCTGTTTATTGTCATCTGAGCTAAGGACATTACTGCATATTACATGTAGCGTAGGGAACTTTAGAAAGGCATGTTTTAATATGCCCCAAGTATTCCAAGATTGTGGTTATATAAATTGATGTTTGGACTTTGGTTTTAATTCTTTGGACTACTTGTACTCCCTGCTTTTGAAAACCCTTTTAATATGTTGTTGTGGCATCTGAGCTACCATAGCAAGCCATCCAGTTAGTACCTGTGAGAACTGCTTTCAATAACTTTGGGGATTGGAGCAGGATCTGCCTATCTCACTAGTCTCAAGCTCCATGTCCCAGCATCTGCAAATGGAGACAAGAATACCATTACCATATTTTACTACAAGCATTTCCCTTTGAAGTTTGTTATTTTCTAGCTAGGGCTCACAGATGATTATCTGTGTAGATGTGTTCTTATGTATGGATTTTATTTCAGGACAGTCCAAGATGCATCACAAAAGATATGCTGTGAAATGTTGGGACATCGAGGGTTGGAAATCATGGCTCTGGAAAGTGATTATAGAACATTCTTATTTCTTCTAACCTAAAGTCTCAACAAAGCACCATAGAAGAAGGAAAGGGCTGGGTGTTCCACCATTATTTCTCCTGGTTTATCATCCAAGTCAAAAAAAAAAAGGGTACTATTGTGAAAGTAGTACCACCAGGGAGGTCACTCAACTGGCTGGAATACATAAGGACTGGGGTTCTCCCCAGTGCCATCTATAGATGTTGATAAGCCCATGTGGCTGAGGAGCCACTGACCCACTGCAGAAATCCTACCTTCTTTCATTCTAGTTTAGCCTTCAGAATCAGCCCTTCATCTTCCTTTTGGACAGCAGCCAGCCTGCACCTCCATCAGATGGAAGCACCTGAGCTGCAGCCACTTTGTAAGGATTGCAACCACCTTCCATTGTGAGCAGAGCAGCAAGCAGAAGGAAACACTCTGCCTAGTCCAAGACATACAACTCAGTCAAGCTGAAATCCCTTGTACCAACTGGTGTCTACTTGACCTGAGACAGAGGGGAAGGCAGAAACCCTGCTTTCAGCTTAAACTCCATGGGGCACTTGTCACAGGTAAAGAACCTGTGTCATGATTCAGCTCCTTTCTGCCTCTTTTGTGCTCCAAGGATATTGACACATGGCACCTTGGCAAACACTCCCATCCTGTGTGAAGGATTGAGGCAGCTCATCCATTCTTCAGGAGTACATTCTTCCACTCTCAGAAGACTTGAATCACAGTAATCGACACACACTGCTGGCCCTGTGTAGCTTCAAAAAGTGGTTCCAATACTACAGATTGACTTATAGGCTGAGGGCAAGTTATGTCTATGCTTTGCATATTCTGAGAATACAGCTTACTATTTCAGATTCCATGAGGGATAGTGGTGGGTTCGCAACTACTGGCAATTTTGTGTGCCCATGTCCTGAGTAAAAACAGAGGAGTTCCAGTGGCTGAAAACAATTGAGACAGATGCACTTCCAGTCTGCAGCCGTTACTTCCGTGTGCATGACATCTTCTAGCTCATGTGCTTTTGCTCACATCTATTATATAAACCTCCAAGAAATGTTTTTGAATAATATCATCATCTTCCTTTTCAGATAAGGAGATAAAATTTAAAGGGCCAAAGCACTTGCCCCAGCTATAGGGAAAAGCAGGATTTACCACAAGGTCTTTTATCTTTCTTATCCCCTTCAGTAGCAGGGGGGAGAAATGAGCAAATAAGGATGTACAAATTAAAGGCAGAATCTCAAAGCTGTGTGCTGGAGATAGAAGCACTAAAGACCTTCCAAGCAGTACCCTGCACAGTTCATGCCCTGGGAAGACACGGCCTCATTTGTATATTGTCTCAAGGAACACATGCCTCTGGGGACATCTTGATTTTAAGTAGACTTATAAGTAATGACAATAAAAGAAGCAGGTAAAATGAGAAAGATCCTCTCTGCCTGGGATTTTCATAGACAGAAAGCATATATCATTTTAGCACCTCATTCCATTTTCTGGCCTCAGTGTGAGTAATCTTCTGCATCCCAGGAAGCTATGTGGGCTTCTGTTCTTTCTCAGAGATGCTGTTTATTTGAAAGATGAGCCATAACCTGAAGACGGATGCACCATCTCAGAATCAGTCACAAGCTCACATGCTGTTTCCCAAAAAGTAACTGTCCTCACAAAAATCTTATTTTACCCCAGAAATAAGCCTGGCTTTTATGATGTCCTCAATTCTAGGTAATCATACAATCAAACATACATTCTAACTTTTCAAATGGGGACCAATGGATAGCAAGCAGAAAAAGGCTTTCAAAAGGCTGACAAATCCTCAGAAAGGAAAACTACCCCAACTACAATAGCCTCAAATAAATAAATAAATAAATAAAATACTTGGGAATCAACAAAAGAGGTAAAAGATCTATACAATGAAAACTACAGAACACTAAAAAAAGAAATCAAAGAAGAACTTAGAAGATGGAAAGATCTACCTTGCTCTTGGATAGGCAGAATTAATATTATCAAAAGGCTGAGAACATGAAAGGGGCCACTGTGCCACTTTCCCTCCTGTCCTGTGCCCAGTGCCTTCTTATATCTACCTGGTGCATCCTGCCCTTTCCACCAAGAGCTGTTGGCCTGGGATGAGATGGACCCATTTGCCATTAACCTCGGCTCTGAGAAGACAGAGGTTAAGAAAAGGTTAAGAAAAGCAAGGAAAAGCAAAATATCCTTGGGTATTTTCACTTCTAAAGAAATCCAAGACCTCTTATCCTTTTCACTGAGAACCCTGGAGAATCTAAACACAACTCAATTTGACTTAACCTTCCATGATAGGTTTCTGAAATCTCAAGGGCTGAGGGTGAACTTTCATATATTGCCACAAGATGGCGCAGCAAGGACAGGAAGGTCCAGAGTCCTCTCTCCCTAGGAAGGTGGTTTTCATCAATCCAGAGTTTCCAACTCAACAGGAAAAACTCTAGGGTAGTTCTAGAAGGTGCTATAAATATTAATTTGTTTGGAAGGGTGCACAAAATTCCACCCATGGTCAAACTTTATTAAGGAGCCACAATACCACCTTG